CTTCCTGACATACCCTGTGGGACGTCAATTCACTTTGTCTGGTGGATCCTCCTTGACTTGGATTCGGGGTTCTTCAATGCTACGCACTAAAGATCCCTCTTTGATCGAGGGTTGCTTCAAACTGTTACTACATTTAGCACTTGCAACTCGATCTGGCGGAACACTGACCGTAGGCTCAATTTCCACAACTTGCTTAATTAATTCCACCTTTTCGTCCTCAGAACCAAGACCGACAGTGTAGAGGGCTCTTTCTATTGCATCAACTTCCTTCTGCCATTTGTCTATCTCATCTGAAAGGGATGCAACACAAGATACCGCCTCCAAGGGCTCTTTTTCAAGAGCTTGGGGCTTGTTAGAATAATTATGAACCACATTAACACTAAAGCACTTCTCCTCTGTCATGGGGCTTTTAGGGGTATTATTTAGATTAAAAATAATTTAACCGTCCCCTACTGATAGTGTTAATTTACCAATTCTCACATCTATAATTGCTCCTGCAGTGTTAAGGAATGGTCTACCCAAAATGATTGGGGTTTGCATATCCTCTGCCATATCAAGAACAACAAAATCAACAGGTATATAAAATTTACCTACTCTAACGGGAACATCCTCTAAAACACCTAAGGGGTATTTGAATGAACGGTCGGCCATTTGTAGAGTAATATTAGTAGCTTTTAATTTACCCATATTTAACTTGGAACACACAGATAATGGCATAACACTAACGCTAGCACCCAAATCACACAATGCATTATCAATCATTAGATTGCCTATATGACAAGGGATAGAAAAGCTACCCGGATCTTTTAATTAAGGTTGAGATTTATCTTAAAGTATGGCACTACACTCTGCAGTGAAAGCTAATGTCTCTACCTCATTAATAGACCTTTTTCTTGTCAATATTTCTTTCATAAATTTTGCATATGCAGGAATTTGTGTGATTAATTCAGTGAAGGGAACTGTTACCTTTAGATCTTTTACCATCTCCAGAAACTTACCAAAATGCTTGTCCAAGTTTGTCTTCAAGTGACGATTGGGGAATGGAAGTTTGATAACTGGCTTTGGAGCATTATTGCTCTTATCTAGAGTTGCCACCTTCTCTGGGGTCGTACCAAGCAATGTAGAATAAGATATATTAGTACTATGCTTTAGCCCTGTAGGGCTATTAGCTACATTGTCTAGTTTAACGGAATCAAGATTAGCATGATTTATTAAAACAGGTTCATCAAATCTGGGCAAAGGGGGCCCTTCATAGTTTTAACCACTCCATAGAGTAATTTAATAGGCTTGATCCGTAGGCATGGTTGGCTGTGCTAGCAGAGCTCCCTATTGGCGGGCTTGTAGAGTAGCGGAAAGTTGCGCAATTTGATTATCTACAATTTTATTATGTGCTAGAATTGAATCAATTTGTGCATCTCTACTCTCCATGTGCTTCTACATATTAACCATCATCGCTCTAATTTCTACCAAAGCAGGGTCGGAAGATGAGGAGTGTTATTGTGGTTGGTTCTTCTGGCCAGCATTGGGATGGTAATATTTCTGCTGTTGTTGTTGTGGCGTCTGTGGTTCTTGTGGTGGTTGATTTTGAACATTAGTACTCCGGTAGGAAAGGTACGGATGATTCCGGTACCCAGGATTGTAGGTGTTGGAGTATGGGTTATTCTGCCTGTAAGCTTGAAAGGCATTAACTTGCTTTACAAAACTCCTGCAATCTTGTTCTCAATGACCTAAAATTCCACAATTTTCACAGAAAGCCTCATTAGCATTATTATTTATTGCAGAAACATTAGCTACATTAGCAGTGCTAAGATTATCTAATTTCGGGCAGATAGAGGTTAATTGAGCTTGCAAAAAGGATACGGAGTCAACATTATGCTTCCCCTTGTTAGCAAAGCCTCTAGGATTCCCATATTGGGAATTATGTATCGCCATATCTTCAATAACCTGACCTGCATCATCAACATTAAGATTCATAAACCTCCCACTAGCTGCAGAAACTAAAATTATTCTAGATGAATTTCCAATGCCATTGTAAAAGGCCTGGATTAATTGGCATTGTGCCAGATTATGGTGGAAGCATTCTCTTTGTAGGTCCTTGAACCTCTCCCAAGCCTCGTATAAAGTTTCATCGGCTTCTTGGGCAAAGTTCTGAATTGCACTCCGTAGTACGACTGTTCTCTCTGTAGGATAATACTTGTTAAAAATTCAAAACAAGAGTTTCCCAGTCAGTTATACGAAGTGCAGTTCTATTTAAACCATTAAACCATAATTTGGCTTTTCTAGTTACAAGACCCTGATTTGGTCTTGTGTGACCCCGACTTTCCTGATGGTATTAAAATACTGACAATAGTATGCAATGTGAAGATTTGGGTCTTCACCCTTAGCTCCACTAAATTGCTTCCTCTCTATCATCGTTATAAATTGAGGTTCAATATCAAAATGTATCCCATCAAGAGCCGGAGTGGGAGTGAGATGTGGAAAATCTGTAAGCTTTGGTTGTGAGTAATCACTAAGCTTCTTTGGAGCCGTGATCTCCGATTCTAGATCTGATGATACCTCTGAATCGCTAGAACCAGCTGGAGGATCTCGGTGATTATTATTATCACCAGAATCCGCCAGAATTTGCTTGTAAAAATTCTTCTATATATGGAAGGATCGTTCAATCTCAGGATCAAATGGGACGTACCCTAATCTGGAACACCTGGGTATAAACAAAAAAACTAAAGCAAATATGAGACTTGCCTCAAAGAACTAACGTTCTCTGAGACAAAAAGAAATAACCTAGACTACAAAAATAATCAAAATTAAAAATAAAACCGTTTCCCCGGCAACAACGCCAAATTTTGACAGGGTAAAGTCGTATCCCCTAATCAAAATTAATTCCTAAATCCTCTAACTAATGTAGATAGGGAAGTAGGGTCGAATCCACAGAGAAACGAGTCTTTCTATTCCTAATTAATTAAAGTAATCTAAATTATAAAGTGACCAATATGTAAATTTGGATAATAAACTAAACTACGGAGATTAAGAATAAGGAGAAAACAATATATAAAAGGATCTAGGGCATAGGTTCACTAATAAATAATATTCCAGGATAAAACATGATAATCAATCATCAATGCATACATTAATCAGATCATAAAGGGATTTCGCTACGTATTACAATCACACAATTAATTTACCAGTGTTAAATCTCATCTTTCGAATCTCGACTCAACCATTTATAAATTAACCTGCATATTGAAACTAGACCTAAAAATTAATTCTCATCTGTCGAATCTCGAATCAATATTGTTAAACTCATGCATAAAAGATCTGCGCAAATCTAGTCATAGAGCATTAAATCAATCAATAGGAAATTAATCTAGCATTGATAACAACAATAAATTACCCATTCATATTATTTATGGATCCCCATAAACCCTAGAAATAAAACTACTCACACATAATAAAAACTAAACTAATAAAAGTAATAAAGCAAGACATGACCATAAGAATAATATAAACAACTAAGATTAAGAGAAGAGAAATCGTTACCAAAATAAATCTGGAATTAAGAATCATGTTAAGAACAATGTGTATGAGAGAGAAAACTAATCTAAAAGCTAAGTAGAGAGAGAAAATCTAAAAAATAACTAAGAGAGAGGAAAGAAGAGTATTAAACTCGTTTTACGGAGAAGTATTTATACTCCGCAAGAATCCTAAACTAAAACAAACTTAAACGTCGAATAATTAACTCCTAACAATAACACGTGCTCGATCGAGCGAGGCACCGCCCAATCGGGCGCGCCTTTTTCCTCTCACGTACATTTCTCGCGCCCCGCCGGGCACGGGTTCGGGCGCCAGCCTTGCTTCCCTCGCCCGGCTAGGCGCGCCTCCAGGCGCTAGGCTCTTTGGACGGGCGACTCTCTTGGGCCAATATTTAGACTACGATTGGGGTCCAATTCTTCGGGCCAATTTGGATTTCCTCTTCGGGTTTTGAATACTTGGTCCAAATGCCCCGGTATCACATATACCAAGCCCTTAATCACCGGTGTGATGGCTCTAACCGGCCCTGGGCTATAATATCTGGTCGTGCTTCTCTAATGCTCATAATTGCTCTATAATAAATCGGGAAAATGCTCCAAAAGTTGAAATCCCTGCAAAAGTCAACCAAATCTACGAAAACATTATTAAACACCAATTAGTAATAAAAGTGGCTGTAAAGAGCAAAAAACACTACTTATTATGACCAAGGGACGGGGGTAAAACACTTTATAAAATAGACACATCATTGCCCATTATAGCTAGTAATTATCTCTTTTATGACTACCTTAAGTATGGTCTTAATAGCATCCTTGTAACCCTCCTTTGTCATTAGTCCACATTAACCCTCTCATTAATGGACTCTTAATTGTTCATATAAGTTACAATGTTCACATCTTGTATATATATATATATGGTCATGAAATGGATGAATATAGACAATACAATTACCATCTACATCTCTCTCTAATCTTCTCCCTTTTCCCCTTATTTTATAATACTTTATCAGCACCATACTCCAAACGAAACTATTACATTGATTACTCCGTAAGTATACTAGCCAAGAAAAAAAAGTCCAAAGGTATTCATTTTATAACATTAGTTAACACGTATCAAATATTGATGTTAGGAATTGTTCTATATCATGATGTTACTTTATGATTATATGCGGTTCTGACATACTAAAGTTCTTAGTTTATGATTATATCATGATGTTAGTATATGCGTCCACTTTCATAGAATTTTTCACCTTCACCTTATATGCTTCCAAATTATGTTAGTTGATGATTATTAGATATCATATCATGATGATATTAATTTTGCTTCTTAACATATTTTACGAGACATTTTAGTAGTATAACTCATGATATCCGTTTCATATGTGATTAAATCATTAACAGTATTATTATTGTTTTTATGTACTATATGTTTATTGTATGCTATTTAATCTTGTATTGTTATTTTGTATAGTGAAAATGTCGAACCTTGCCAAGCTTGAATTTGTGGCCCTTGATATTATCGGAAAGAATTATTTATCATGGGTGTTAGATGCTGAAATACACCTAGATGATAAAGGCCTTAGTGAAACCATTAAGGAGGCTAATGAGGCAATACCTCAAGATAAGGCTAAAGCCATGATTTTCCTTCGCCATCACCTCCATGAAGGGCTCAAAAATGAATATTTAACTATGAAAGACCCACAAATCCTTTGGAGTAATCTAAAGGAAAGGTATGACCACCAAAAAACAGTGATACTCCCTAGAGCTCGTTATGAATGGCTGAATTTGAGATTGCAAGATTTTAAATCTGTTAGTGAATATAACTCAGCTATGTTTAAAATAAATTCTCATTTAAAATTATGTGGAGAAAATATTACTGATGCAGAAATGCTTGAAAAGACATACTCCACTTTCCATGCAAATAATATTGTCATGCAGACACAATATAGAGAAAAAGGTTTTAAAAAATATTCTGAATTAATATCTTGTCTTCTTGTGGCTGAACAAAATAACGAGCTGTTAATGAAAAATCATGAATCACCTCCTACTGGCTCTACTCCATTCCCTGAAGCGAATGTGACAACCCATAACGGGAAAGAAACTAAAAACAGAGACCATTCCAGCAGTAGTGGTCGAGGTAGAGGTCGTGGTCGCGGTCGTGGCCAATGGCGTGGTCGCGGTCGTGGGCATGGTTTTAATGGATATGGTAGAGGTCGTGGAGGTCATTACACAAATTCACATTCCCACCAAAAGTGGGAACGTAGGGATGATAAAGAAAAAAATGAGATCAATATATGTTACCGTTGTGGAGGAAAAGGTCATTGGTCTCGGGTTTGTAGAACTCCAAAGCATCTTGTTGAAATTTATCAAGAATCAATGAAGAAAGGAAAGAAAGTTGAGGCAAACCTTGTTCTTGGGTGATTTTGATTTTGGCAATGCAAATCATTTCGATGTTGCTAATTTCCTTACTTCCCCAGAAGGGAATAATTTTGATTTTGGCAGTACAACTCATTTAGAAGTTGTTGATTTCTTCAATGCTCCGGAAGGGAATAATTAAATTTATATTATTTTGTGCCAACTTTAAGTATTAGACTTTATCTAATTATTTACTTATGTTAATTTGTATGGTTGTAATAAGGGCTTTTGCTTTATGAATTTATGAATTATTTGAGTGTTTTTATTGATTTATTTATTTTATCATATTTATTTTTATGCTTAATATTTTGACATATATTTTATTTCATGAAGAACATGGATATTACTCAAGTACAATTTGCTCTGAATGGTGAAGAATTATGTCTTGCTGACAGTGCAACTACTCATACAATACTTAAAAATAAAAAATATTTCTCTCATTTGATGATGAAAAGGATTACTGTGAGTACCATATCGGATAGTACAAATATCATTGAGGGCTCCGGAAGAGCCACTATAATATTGCCTTGGGGAAATGAAATTAAAATAATTGATGCTTTATACTCCCCATTGTCTCAAAGAAATTTATTAAGTTTTAAGGATTTTCGCAACAATGGTTATCATATTGAGACAATCAATGAAGATAATAACGAATTCCTTCAAATCATAAATACAAATCAAGGCTTAAAACATGTTTTGGAGAAATTACCTACATTCTCCAGTGGTTTGTACTACACAAAAATCAATGCTATTGACGCTCATGCTATATTAAACCAGAAGTTTACTGATAATTTTGTTGTTTGGCATGACCGGTTAGGCCATCTCGGTTCAATAATGATGCGAAAAATAATTACGAATTCATGTGGACATTCTTTGAAGAGCCAGCAGATAGACATAATAATTTTTCATGTGCTGCTTGCTCAGAAGGCAAGTTAATAATTCTCCCATCACCAGCTAAAATTAATTTTGAATCAATTAGTTTTCTAGAACGTATACAAGGAGATATTTGTGGGATCATACATCCCCCATGTGGACCATTTAGATATTTTATGGTTTTAATTGATGCATTTACTAGATGGTCACATGTGTCTTTGTTATCAACTCGTAACCTGGCGTTTGCGAGATTACTTGCCCAATTGATTAAGTTACGGGCACATTTTCCAGATACTCCTATTAAGACTATTTGGCTTGATAATGCTAGAGAATTTACATCTCAAGCTTTCAATGATTATTGCATATCCATTGGGATAAATGTTGAACATCCTGTAGCTCATGTTCATACACAAAACGGTCTGGCAGAGTCAATTAATTAAACGTATTCAGTTAATTGCTAGACCATTGCTTATGAAATCCAATCTCCTAATTTCTGCTTGGGGACATGCTATATTACATGCAGCAGCACTAATTCGCATTAGACCAACAAGTTATCATAAGTTCTCCCCATTACAATTGGTTTATGGTCAGGAACCAAATATTTCCTATCTAAGAATTTTTGGATGTGCGGTTTATGTTCCAATAGCTCCACCACACGCTCTAAGATGGGTCCTCAAATTAGGTTGGTAATATATGTTGGGTTTGAATCCCCGTCAATAATTAAATATCTTGAGCCTACAACAAGGGATTTATTTACGGCTCGTTTTGCATATTGTCATTTTAACGAGTCACTTTTCCCAACATTAGGGGGAGAAAAGAGAGAGCTGGAAAAAGAAATTAAATGGAATGAATTATCATTATCTTATCTTGATCCTAGAACTAAAGAATGTTAACTGGAAGTTCAAAAGATAATTCATTTACAAAGTTTAGCAAATCAATTGTCAGACTCGTTTGCTGACCCAAAAAGAGTGACCAAGTCACATATTCCAACTGTAAATGCTCCATTTAAAATTAGTGTCCCGGAAGGACAAAATAAATTCTCTAATGAGTCTAAACCACGTCAGAAACGTGGAAGACCAATAGAATACAAAGATAAGAATCCCCGAAAAAGAAAAGGAGCATTGATTGATGATGGTCAAATTGAAGAAACAATTTCCGAAGGATCTCCAGAAGAGACTTCAGACATGATACAAGAAGAAATTCAGGTCCTGATAATGAAGAAATTTCAACAAATTATATCACGTCTGGAATTACATGGAACCGAAATCGAATCGACGTCGATGCTGTTTTTGCATGCAATGTAGCATTAGATGTTATGTATAATAATGAGGATCATGAACCAAAATTCATTGAAGAATGTAGACAAAGAAATGATTGGACAAAATGAAAGAAGCAATTAAAGCAGAATTAAAATCTCTTAGAAAAAGAGAAGTATTCTGACCTGTAGTCCGTACACCTAAAGGTGTAAAGCTAGTGGGATATAAATGGGTCTTTGTGCAAAAGAGAAATGAAAAGGGTGAAGTTGTAAGATATAAGGCACGCTTAGTTGCATAAGGATTCTCACAAAGACCTGGTATTGATTATGAAGAGACATATTCTTCTGTGGTGGATGCAACTACTTTTAGATTTCTGATTAGTCTAGCAATAAGAGAAGGACTTGACTTACGTTTGATGGATGTAGTCACAACTTATTTATATGGCCCACTAGATAATGACATTTACATGAAGCTTTAGAAGGATTCAAGCTGCCAGAAGCAGCAAAATCTAGTTCTCGAGAAACATTTTGTATTAAATTGAACAAATCTCTTTATAGATTGAAACAATCTGGGCGTATGTGGTATAACCATATAAGTGAATATTTTTTAATATAAGGTTATAAGAATGATCCTATCAGTCCATGTATTTTATAAAGAAATTTGGATCAGGATTTGTCATAATTGCGGTGTATGTTGATGATTTGAATATCATTGGAACTCCTGAAGAGATTTCAGTGACTGTCAATTATTTAAAGAAAGAGTTCGAAATGAAAGATCTTGGAAAGACAAAATTCTGCTCGGGGTTACAAATAGAGCAGGAACTCCTGAAGAGATTTCAGTGACTGTCAATTATTTAAAGAAAGAGTTCGAAATGAAAGATCTTGGAAAGACAAAATTCTGCTCGGGTTTTCAAATAGAGCACCTAGAGAATGGAATCCTTGTGCATCAATCAACATACATAGAAAAGGTTCTTAAAAGATTTTCTATGGATACAACACATCCATTGAGCAGCCCTATGATTGTACGATTACTTGAAGTAGAGAAAGATCCATTCCGACCTCAGGAAAATGATGAAGAAATTCTTGGTCCTGAAGTACCATATCTTATTACAATTGGAGCACTAATGTACCTTGCAAGTCATACACGACCCGACATATCATTTTCAGTTAATTTATTAGCAAGGTTTAGTTCATGTCCAACTCGGAGGCATTGGAATGGGATCAAACATTTACTTCGTTATCTTCAAGGTACGAAGGGGATATAGGTTTATTTTTCCCAAAGTTGTCCAAAGAAAATTTGATTGGTTTTGCAGATGCAGGTTATTTATCTGATCCTCATAATGGTCGATCACAAACTGGATATGTGTTCACATATGGTGGTACTGCCATTTCTTGGCATTCCATAAAACAAACCATTGCCGCTACTTCTTCCAATCATTATGAGATTTTAGCAAATCACGAGGCTAGTCGTGAATGTGTATGGTTAAGGTCGGTTGTTCAACATATAAAAGAAGTTTGTGGTTTATCATCTGGGAAAGAGGCACCGACAACTTTATATGAGGATAATGCAGCTTGTATTGCTCAACTTAAGGAAGGATACATCAAAGGTGACAGAACAAAGTACATCTTACCCAAATTTTTCTTCACTCATGATCTTCAGAAGAATGGAGATATAAAAGTATTGCAGATTTGTTCAAGTGAAAATTTAGCAGACTTATTCACTAAGGCTCTTCCGACCGCAACATTTAAAAAGTTAGTTTATCGTATTGGATTGCGCCGTCTCAAAGATCTTCAGTGATATAATAATGAGGGGGAGTAATTCTGCGCTGCACTCTTTTTCCCTTATCTATGGTTTTTTCCCACTGGGTTTTTCCTGGAAGGTTTTTAATGAGGCAGCGTATAAGCGCATTAAATCTCTCTTAGATAATGGGCATCCAAGGGGGAGTGTTACAAAATAATAATGTATGCCCATTATAGCTTGTAATTATCTCTTTTATGACTACCTTAAGTATGGTATTAATAGCATCCTTGTAACCCTCCTTTGTCATTAGTCCACATTAACCCTCTCATGAATGGAATCTTCATTGTCCATATAAGTTACAATGTTCACATCTTGTATATATATAGATGGTCATGAAATGGATGAATATAGACAATACAATTACCATCTACATCTTTCTCTAATCTTCTCCCTTTTCCCCTTATTTTATAATCATATTACTATTTTTAAATTCATATACAATTAAAGTTTACATATGAATATTTTGTAAATATATATACTTAGTATTTAAAATTACAAATCATCATTCTCATCCTGCCACATCTGAACTTATTTTTTTTCACAAATGTCATTTATAACCTCATTTAACCTTTTTTTATCCCTTTCTCATTTTAAGAAACACTAGCTTTAATTCAATACATGTATGAATGTTGTTTGGTTCACTTTCCCCAACCTAATATCTTCTAAAATTATATTCAATTTTCACCCCTTCTTCTCTTTTATTAAACATATTATAGAATAAAAATTTATATTGTATACAAATAAACAACCCGTGCATTGTATATCTATAATTCTATAAATAACCCATGCATTGCACGGGCTAGGAGACTAAACAACAAAACAAGTCGATTCTTAAATACCAATAGAAGAAAATAAAATGTAAAGCTAGGTAGTTGTTTAACCAAATTGTTTTTCAAATTGTGTACACGATGAAACGTATGGTCTTCTAGGCTTCCATTACCCTTTTTAAATAAATTGTTAATCATGCCAGTTAATAAGTCGCAAGATTAAATCCGCCCCTTATAAAATTAATATCCTAGAAAAATTAACACTTATAAGTTATGACTAACTTTCTTAATTATGATCATCGTTCATCAC